AGACCTGCGGGTGGATATCTTACAACAGAAAAACTTCAAAAACAGACTCCAACGAGAGACTGCTGAGCTGGAATTGATATGCAAACTAGATACAATCAACTCAGGATTGAATAAAGACTGGGAATGGCTGAGCCATTAGATTCCATGTTTGTATCTCCCCTTGTAAGTATTCTCACACTTCTTATCAAACTGTCTGTACTGGGCTAGCTTGATTATCACTTCAAAAGTTTTTTTCTCTTACTTAATTGGCCTCTCAGAGTTGGTAAGACAACTCCCACCTGTTCATGCTCTCTGTATATATATCTCCTCAATATTGTTCCATTCTATGCATCCAAAGAAGTGGGCTATAGCCCACGAAAGCTTATGCTCTAATAAATTTGTTAATCTCTAAGGTGCCACAAGTACTCCTGTTCTTTTTGAGGATACAGACTAACACGGCTGCTACTCTGACACACAGCTTAACAGTATCCCTCCTGGAAGGGGACTAATCCAATTGGGAAATAGTTTAAAGTGAGACAGGGGAGTAGAGATTTGGTCTTTGGAACAGATTAATGTTTCGTATGTTATGCATGGAAGGCCCAGATATAGCAATGTCACTCTCGTGTGTGAGTGAGAGTAACAAAAACTTTCTTGTGGGACATCGAGGCTAATCTACTGAGTACAATAGATCTTGACACACGTTAACCAATGGTGAGAAGATCAACAGAGACTCACATCAAGACATGCTAGAGAACTGTATGCTGTGCAATTTGAAAGCATCTGTTATATTTTGTGTGTTTTAATTTTGCTTGAGTGAAATCAAATTTCAATTTGTCACATACGGTGACACAGGCAGTCTCTGCCTGACAACACAATGGCTCAACAAGCTACCTACTTCACTGCGTTAGTGTTGGTTTTCCCAATACTTGTACATGCTATTCTAAATGGCTAAACATAGGCTTAGCAGAATTAATTTTATAACTTCAACAGATAATATCCATGTTTATTTAAGCAACTTTTTATTTGTATCTATTTATATTTTCACAGTTGCTGGAAATTATTGAGGTGGAGGGTAAGAATTATTTAACGACAATAGATGTTGAGATTCAGAAAAGTTAAAAGCTTTATAAGCATGAAATCACAAAAAGTTGTCAACATCACATGTCAAAATATACAAAGTAAACATCCTTAAAACAAACTAAGTTCTCCAAGTAAGAAAAATGCTGCTTATCTTTAAATTTCAGTTATCATCAATTAAAATATTTTTTCATCGGTTTGTGTATGTATGGTGAAATTGACATTTACCTACATTTACTAATAAAAATCAAGTCTTTCCAAGCCTAAACTGTCAATCATCCTTACATTAATAGTAGTTACAAATGACAAAGCTAACAGTACTAGATAAGCAAAACATCTTCTCTGCCTCCTTAGTCCTTTTACCCTTCCTACAACTACACAGAAGTACAGACAAGGATATAGTTGGAATGGAGGTGACAATTACTCAAGCTTGATTAGTTTCTCAAGCTGTTTACATTTTTTCTAACAATCATAAAACAAAGGTATTACACAGATTTACCTCCTTGTGATGCAAGTTGGCCAAGATCGGAGTGGCTGGAACTAGTCTGTGGCATATCTTCTGGAGGCCCAAACCTGAATCTGGGAACTCCAGCCACCTGGGGGGAACTACAAAGATGCATAATGTGCTGTAAACAGTTTAATAAACTAAAAACTATAATAAAATTATTTTAATTGAATAAGGAAAACAAATTATCTATGATACAAATAAGATTAGTATCCAAACATAGATAACACTTAGTTTTATCAGCATTATCCAAAGGAATTAGTTTCTCCATTATGGCTGCATCAAAATGATAGGGTCAAAAAATACTCCACTAGTAAGAAAATAGTAAAATCGCTTTCAATGAATACTGTAACATTTAAATAGCTCCTATGGCTTTACACAACTAATTTGTAAGTGGCCTGCTGAGCATGTCCTCTACTCTCCTCTATCCAAAGTTGGGATAAGCAACTATTCTCCACAGCAGCTTGCTAGTGTATTTTAACTGATCTTTATAGTCAATATTGAGAAAACATGCTTTTGTCACTTCTAGCATTAATGTGAATGTGCAAAAGAGGGGCTCAAAGTAGCATGATAACCCACTGTTGCCCTAGTAATTTAACTGTATGACTTTTTAAACAAATAGGTTACACTACATTAGAATGAGATCAGAAACTTACTTTTCTGAACCCCGTTTTATGATGTACGGTTCAAACATCTCAATATTTGTGACTTTCTCTTAACCATCTAGTAGATGGAATGCTATTTAGTATCTTACTACACAATCATTAAATCATTATATTTTCATTTACCTTTAAGCAAAGAACCATTCAACTGTTATAAAAGGAAAATATACAAGAGCACTTGCTTTTATTATTATGACTTCTACGTACTGAATTGCTTCTGCAAATCCATCTGTACGATGTGGTACCACAAGAGTTGGGGTGCTTGGAACTGTCCTGTCTTCATCATCAAAAAAGTGTTGCTGCTGAAAAAAATATTAAGATCAGAAGCTAAAATATATTCATTATTCCTACTCTGCTTGCTTCTAAATAAAACTCATCTACAAAGGTTGTTCCCTCCCAAAAAAATAGATGCATCAGCTTTAACTATTATTTGTCTAGTCAACAGTGTGAAGGGAACCAATGTCAAAATAAAAAAGTATTTTAAAAGATTGATTCCTAAAAAATAGTAATAAATATTGGCTGTGTCTAAACTGACCCAGATTCTTAAGCGTTTTTAGCTTCATCTTATACTTAACACACCTTGCCTGGTATTCACATTTGGAATAAGTTAAGGGATGGAAACCACGAAAACCAGAGCTTGACTAAACCTATCTGCAATGTTACACAAACACCCAAGGAATTCTTTACTGCTCTGGTAGTCTTATAAGACTACAAAGTTCAGAGTGCTCTCTCAATAAAGGTTTTTTAGGAGCAGACTGCCATTTACTTACCATGCCCCCTATACCAGGAGTTAGTTGAAGCCCACGTCCCACTGACTGCCTCCGAGTCATCTGGATTCTCTTTATAGTAAAAGGAGGAATAAAAGTGCTATAAATGTTTCCTGGGGATTCTAGCAACATGCAAATATCGTCAGGAATAAAGTTTAGTGATAAAAGATAAATTATTTTGGCTTTCTACCAAAAGCATGACTTGAGTAACAAAACCAGCTAGCATATTTTTGTTTATTGGTGAAAGCCATATTCCAGATATATTTAATCATGCACTTAATTCCTATAGTTAAAGCAATCCTGAATCAGGTGGAATCAACTATTTTACAAAATGAGACAATATTACACCCAAAAGGGGGGAAATTAATATAGGAACTCTGAGTAAAGAGGAAATAGTGAGTGTATCAATGGCATTTAAATCATTTTCACAAGACACAATTTTAGTATAATCTAAACAAATGGTTCAGTGGTTTAGCATTTAGTGTAAAGTGCTCAGAGCGGGTTTTTTGTGCACTTCATCACACACAGAAAGGCTTTAGAAAATAAACAAAATATTATAAACCATATTATAATCGCTTGAAAGAGCACAATAAACCAAATGAAAAATTTATGAACAATTATAATTGTGTTTAAGTTAGAACTATTAAGGTCAGTTTAATTTTTTTCCCCTAAAAAACTTAAAAAATTTCAAGTTCTGAGCACGGAACTGTCAAAACTTCTGGCATTCATTCTTCCACTCTCTCTTGGTGCTCACTGTACTGTGGAGGAAGCATGCTCAGCATAGCTCACCACTTAAATTCTCAAACCAATTAAGCAGCAGTGCAGACCAACTCTCAATGAGACCTAGTCAAGGCAGACGGAGTAGAAGCCTACTGACAGCTGCATTCAACATTTCTCGGTGTAATAAAGTATGCAAGGTCCCATACAGATTCAGGCCACAGAATTTCCCCAAAATAATTCCTAAAGCATCTCTCTTACAAAAATTAAAAATTGCCAGTGATGGAGACTCCATCACAACTTTTGGTAAATGGTTCCAATGATGAATTGCTCTTATTAAAAATGTATGCCTTATTTCCAGCCTGAATTTGTCTAGCTTCAACTTCCAACCATGATCAATGTGGTTTCTGGTCTTTGTCTTCTTTCTCCATTCTTTCCCCATTCTCCTATCTATCCCACCTCTTTTATCCCATCCTTCCTTGTGTGCTACCTTTTTTCTCTCTGCACTTTTTGTTTTTTTGATCTTTATTTTTTCTCTATTCTTCTTTTCTATCTGTTCTTTCTTGGGGCAGAGATGATTTGAAATTTGGCAGGTGTTGTTACATGTACCTAGCTGAGCACAGGCCTTGCTCCTCTTCCCACTCTGCAATTTGTGCTTCCAATTCAGCTCCCCATCAGGCTACACTGAGGAAAAGAACCCTGATTTTCAAGAGAGGACGAAAGTACAGGGAAAATCATTGTCTCTGTCCTCACTAGCTGCAACATTTTCCACACCTCATACATGGGGCGGGCTCATACACTGAAAGTCAAGGAGAGATCCCGTGACACTGCAGGACTCATCTGTGTAGCACTATGCTTTTAAAAACAGCCGCTTTCCAACCTTCCTTACCCACTGCTAGGTCCAACCATGAAATATAAGCATGCTAGCTGAAGTTTCTGGTAAAGTGGAATAGTTAATGTTGACATGTAATCTATCACTAGGGTTCAGAGATAAACACCCCATAGAAATAAACTGGAACAGCGCGCACCTCTCAGAACAAGGGGACTGTAAAGAATAAGCTCACAATCACATCTTTTTGCAACCTAAAGGATAAGTACTTTTTTTTTTTTTTAAAGTGAAAGCTTAAAATTCTGTAGAATCTTAAGATGTCACGTACAGCTTAAAGGCAAGGCATTGGGCACAAAAAGGTTAGCTGAGACGACAGTGGGAGTTTCCTTATGCCACACTTGCATCCGGGCAAAAAATATTTAACAAAAATCTGAATCAGATCTTGTTGAGTTACAGCCTGCTCAAAAACTGCTTTTAGAGTGGAAATACTGACAAGTATTGACTAGAACAGTGCTGTTATAATCATTTCAAGATACACACCCATCACTATTGCCTTACTGCTTGTAATGGTCATTTCACTTGTACAGCTAGTAGGTAAAATCACTGCCATATTTCAAGAGATGAGAAATTTAAGTTAATTTGCTCAGCTGTTTCAATTAATATCTGTATGTTTCCTTTTTGTAAGATACCATATAAAAGTAATACAGTTGGACCAAATACACAGGACTAACACCTTATTTACAAAAAGCTACATAGTTAAGTAGTTTCCTTAATTTTCTAAAGCGTTGAGTGATTTCCTACCTGTACTGGTGGTCCCAGTTCCTGGGGTGGAGCATGAATAGTCAGTCGTGGAGGTAGAGGATGTGGTGGTCTGCGTGGTGACTGAGGTGGCCGAGGAGCCTGCCTTTCTGAGGCAGATGTTGGCTGCTGTTCTCTTGAACTTTCATGGGAGAAAGTGGACTCTGCAGCACTTGTACTTCCTTCGCCTAAAATGCAAGGAAATATCACACAATAAAAACACTGTACTCCACAAATCTATGACCAGAGTAATTCAGGCAGTACTTCTTTTAATTTACTGTCCTTAGTTGCAATGATAGAAGTATGACAACTTAAAAAAATTGATGTACACTGTAATACTTTCTAAAGAATATGGGGTCACTTCACCCATCACCCAAATGGAATCACGAGCAGTTTGAGATGAAGCTGCAATAAAAACTTACAGAACATATACCAAAACTGAAAATAGATTAACATGCTAAAGCAGACATTTCTACGCGTGCAAAAAGCAGTAATTGACCAACAGTGACAATTGAACAGTGCCCGGCTTTAAAAAGTCATTTGAAAGACAGCATGTCTACATGTTAAAGAAACAATTAGCACCATGATAGGCAACTGTTCACCAATGACTCAGAGGGAAGAGGATCATCTACTGAATCATCAACAGCTCTTTCTGCAAGTAATGTTTTCCATACAAATATTGAATACACCCAGTGCTAGTTAGCTTATAGAATTTTACTGGAGCACACCCCAAAGTGTGCTCCAGTAAATCTATCTTTTCCACCTCAAATTCAAAAATACATGTTTTAACAGAAAGAGCTCAAAATGCTTGCACACGACCCCCCCTCATAACCAGAGACTTTAGAGATAGCACAGATTAATTGTACCACTGTTTTGAGAGTCTGCTGCTCTCTGGTTGCTTTCTCCACCTCCCATGCTCTCTTCAGTTTCTGTACAAGGATCTGTACCATCAGCACCCTAAAAATACATAAAACAGTGATTCAGTGCAAAACTCCACCCAGGCCAATAATTGAAAGAGAATAGAAAAAGCTCATATAGGAAAGATGAAAACTTAAGAGATTTTATATACCGTACATAGTTGTAAAGAACAACTATGTATACATTTACACAAGTTTTAAAACCTATCAAAATATCATTTATTCAATGTTTCAATTAATAAACATTTGTTGTTAAGAGTTACACTTGGCTAGCTTCACAGCTACCATATTCTAGTATTATAAAGCTTATGCTGTGTCCTGTACTTTGTATTATCCAACCTTTCCACACATTGAAAAGTTTTTTACTGAAGAAGAAAACCAGTTGCAACATGAACTATATTTATCACCTAACCACAAAATCCAATTTACCTGGATCAGTTCAAATTAAGGTTTTCCTTTCTCAACATGTGGATTACAATAGGAACAAGCTGTAACATCACAATTACCTCAAGAGATCTCATATGTCTACAAAAGGTTGCTACTCTTACCTCAGCATCATCTGCTTCATATCCATCATTGCCATCAGCACTCCCAGTTCCTTCATTACTATCATCACCTTCATCCCCCATTCCTGTATCTTCATCATCATCTTCATCCTCCTCTTCCTCATCTTCATAATCCTACAAATGTAGCATAACACAGCTTTAGGAAGAGCCCAAAAGGATAATATCTAGCTCTTATATAGTACTTTTCATCTATAGATCTCAAAGCCCTTTACAAAGGAGGTTAGTATCATTATCGCCATTTTAGAGAATGGCTAAATCATTTTGTAGTGTGCAATGAACAGATAGATTTTCTCTGAAGGTCTCTTTCTAGAGATGTTCAGAATTCATTTTTAGGCATATACAAACTTCAAATGTAGTAGGTCAAGTGAAAAATTTGATTGTCATCTGGAGTAATGTGCAGTGACAGAGATGCATGAAAAAGTTTATATAGTGACTAATTAAAATATGCCTGCTTTAAGCTAGTTCTCTTGGGTTACAGATTGTGTCATTGTATATATTTGTATAGGATCTGGCATAATGAGGCTGGGATCCTAACTGGAGTTTCAGGGGATCAGGTTGAACCTCGCTAATCCGGCACTCCCTGGTCTGGCAACGTCCATGGTTTGGCATAGGCGCCGACTTAGTGGGTGCTCCGGGGCTGGAGCACCCATGGGGAAAAATTAGTGGTGTGGCACATCCACCGGTGCAAAGCTCCCCCCTCTCCCCGCGCCTCTCATGCGCCGGCGGCCCCGCGCTTACCAACTCCACCTCCTCCCTCCCAGCGCTTCCGGAGTACCACAAACAGCTGATTCGTGGCGTTCAAGCTCCAGGAGGGAAGAGGAGGAACTGGGGCCGGCGGCTGGGACCCCAGGCAGGGGGCCAATGGCTGGGACCTAGGGCCGGCATCGGAACTCCCAGGCGGGGGGCCAGTGGCCGGGACGGCAGGTGGCAGTGGGGCACCCGGGCAGGGGGCCATGTTAGGTGCAAAGCCTGGGGGTGCTGCAGCATCCACTCCCCCTCCCCACCTCTACTTCCCACGCCTATGGAGACCCACTGGCACTCTGCATTGACCTCCTGTGGTTCAGCAAATTCTCTGGTTCGGCACCGGTCAGGTCCCGAGGGTGCCGGACTAGACGGGTTTAACCTGTATAAATAAGTTACATTAATAACAGAAAAACTCAAGGTATTTGGTAATGTCAGTGTGATATATTCTGGGGGTTGGTTGATTTTTTTTTTTTTTGTTGGAAGCAAGAAATACTGAGGATTTCACTTAAGGATAGGAATTTTTTTTTTAAAAGCTACTTCAAACTTATTTCTGTGCTGAAAACCTCTCCACAACCTGGCTAGCAGAGACATTTCATTATATAAATGAGTGCTTCAGTCAACTTCACAACAGTTCAAAAAATCAACCTGAGTTGAGTAAATAAATTTAAATGTCCAGCTGTATGAATAAGTGCAGAATTCCTATTAACAGGAATTGTGTGCTTAGTTTTTCCTGCATCAATGAGAAAATGTATTGTTTTAATTCTGCTCAGGCCAGGTAAATGGATGCGCAGAACTTGCTTTTCTATGTTTATTGCTAAACAGCAGAAGTTTGTAAATTGTGAGTTCGTCTTTACAAAGAAAAAAACAAAATAAAACGATTTAATTGCTTTTTGGTAGCCACCTGCAGGATGAGCTGTTTATTTGCACAAAGACATTGAAGATCACAAACTACAAATAAGCCAGACATACTTCTTGCTCGCCTTCATTTTCCTCATCATCATCCTCTTCATCATCGCTGTCAATCACAATGACATCATCTCTCTTGGACTGGCCATCCTGGGACGATGAGGTATTCTGTTGATCGGACTGAAGAGGTCCAAGATCTATCGGGAGGGACTGAGACGTTTCTTCACTGTCTTCCATGGGAGCGTACTCTCCCTGGGTGACCCCCTTTCAAAGATAAAGGAAAGTTACTAAAATAAAAGTGATACTTCATATAGGTGTTTTTAAAAATGTTTGCCACAGGAGAGATTAAGTCAATTTCCAATTCCATTTAACTTTTAAAGCCCTCCATGAGTGCAGCTAAAAGCAGCTGTGTCACCACTTGTGGTTCAGAACCTAGATCAGATTTGGGTCCACTCTACACTACAGCTGTGTTGTTGTAATCTGTTTGTGACACTCATCTTAACTGGTTGCAACAACCACATTTTTGTTGTGTCCACTCAGTAGCTTTTTGCTGGGTCCACAAACTATGCTACTACATGAATTCACACCTACCAAAGATGGCAATTATATTTGTATTGATGCATTCTGGGACAATCTGGGCATAGTGCCTGAATAAGGAGAAGTGCCCAGAGAATATGTAAAGAGAGCCTCGCTGGTAGCATATGTGTAATGTACTCTGGTTTGCCCTAATACACATACAGCTGGGAGAAAGGAGAACTGGCCAAATCAATTACAACAGCTCTGTTAGAGGAGCCCATCAACATGCAAAAGAGTAGTATGTCAAACTGGTGGTGAGATGACAAGGAATCTGTCTCTAAATAAATACAAAGGAAAGTCTAAGGTACTGAACAGAACTAATGACATTGTCTTCACTGCCTATACCCTTTTGTGCCCCCCCCCCCCAGTTCCTTGCTGATTGAAACATGCTCAACTATTTGTCACAGAATCTTTCTGCAACATAAAGCCAGAAAAATGAAAAAAAGCAGTGTAGTCTGCAGGAACAAAGCAAGAAATTTAAGAATTTAGAACTCACAAACTCCAATCCTGGCTCTGATGTGACTCCTTTAATCCTTATCTCTCACTTTCCCCCAAAAGTAAAATTATTACATAATTCAGTGGCAGTACTTAATGTTTATATAGTTCTTTGAAAACTCCACCAGAGTCTCCTTTGGGGCCATCTGCCTGTCCCAGGTCAGGATAAAGGAGGAGGGTTGGGCGTGGGGCTAGCAACTCCACCCCGTAAAAAATTAATTTGCTACAGAACGTCAACAATAGAGATAACAGAGACTTTTAGCCTGGAAAAAGAAGGGCCTTCAACTCGAAGAAGCATGACGCTGGGTGGTGAAAGTCGTGAGGAAGCCACTAAGCCGATTACTCTTCTTGCAACTAGGAGGATTACCATCGGTACATGGAACGTGAGGACCATGTACGAGTCAAGAAAGACGGCGCAGGTCGCAGCAGAGATGAGGAGCAACAATCTGACCCTACTAGGCATTAGCGAGACAAGATGGACGCAAGCTGGACAGAGACGATTGTTGACAGGAGAGCTGTTGCTGTATTCCAGACATGAAGAGAGCGATGCACCCCACACACAGGGAGTAGGCTTCATGTTGTCCAAGCAGGCACAGAGAGCACTGATTGGTTGGGAGGCACATGGTTCCAGGATCATCACAGCATCCTTCAGAACTAAAATGAAGAGGATTAAGATGAATGTTGTACAGTGCTATGCTCCAACCAATGACAGTGAAGAGGGGGACAAAGACTATTTTTACAACAGACTTCAGAAAATATTAGAGACTCCCCCAGACAAAGACATTACTATCCTTATGGGAGACTTTAATGCCAAAATTGGACCTGACAACACAGGATATGAACTAGTCATGGGGACCCATGCTCTGGGAGAGATGAGTGAGAATGGAGAGAGATTTGTGTGCACTTAACAACTTGGTCATAGGAGGTAGCATCTTTCCTCACAAGCGGATCCACAAGAGTACCTGGGTATTGCCAGCAGGCACGACAGAAAACCAGATCGATCATGTCTGTATTAGTAAGAAGTTCAGAAGATCTTTGCAGGACGTTAGAGTTAGAAGAGGAGCAGACGTAGTGTCCGACCATCTCTTAGTGGTGGCCAGATTGAAGCTGAAGAAGAACTGGATAGACGCGTCAGATAGAAGAGCGAAGTACAACGTCAGCCTTTTGAAGGATCATAAGATCAAAGAAGATTTTGGACTGACGCTGAAGAATAAGTTTTCAGTACTACAGGATCGGTCTGAGGAAGAGGAAGACAGTGCATCCAACAGATGGCAGAAAGTGAGAGAGACACTTAGGTCAGCATGCCAGGAAGTGCTTGGAATCAAGAAATACCAGCAGAAAGAGTGGATCACAGCAGAGACCTTGACTAAGATAGACGATAGAAAGAAGAAGAAGGCAGTAGTTAATAACAGCAGGACTAGAGCAGCAAAGGCTAAAGCGCAAGAAGAGTATGCTGAAGCCCATAAAGTAGTGAAGAGGAATATTAGGAAGGATAAGAGAGATTATGTGGATGGACTGGCAGCAGAAGCGAAACAGGCAGCATACAATGGTAATATGAAACAGCTGTATGACATCACCAAGCGACAGTGTGGAAAGTTCAGCAAGCCAGAACGTCCTGTCAAAGACAAGCGGGGAAAGTCTATAACAGAAATAGAACAACAGATGAATAGATGGGCGGAGCACTTTGAGGAACTCCTAAATAGACCAGCACCACTAAATCCACCAGACATTGACCCAGCCAACGAAGACCTTCCAATCAATTGTGATAGACCTACCAGAGATGAGATCAGAAAATCCATCACTATGATGAAGAACAGGAAGGCGGCTGGACCTGACGATATTCCAGCAGAGGCCCTGAAAGTAGATCTGGATGCTTCAGTGGAAATGCTGTACTCCCTTTTTGAGAAGATATGGGAAGAAGTGATTCCGGCAGACTGGAAAGAGGGATACCTTATTAAAATCCCCAAGAAAGGAGACCTCAGCAATTGTGCCAACTACAGAGGAATCACACTTCTGTTGGTGCCAGGGAAGATCTTCAACCGAGTTCTCTTAGAGAGAATGAAGGATGCCGTCGATCCACAGCTACGAGATGAGCAGGCAGGTTTCCGGCAAAATAGATCATGCACGGACCAGATAGCAACGCTCTGCATCATAGTCAAGCAGTCTATGGAATGGAACTCCTTGTTGTACATCAACTTTGTTGACTATGAGAAAGCATTCGATAGCGTGGATTGAGAGACTCTCTGGAAGCTCCTTCGGTACTATGGCATCCCAGTAAAGGTGGTTAACTTGATTAAGAACTTATATGATGGCATACGCTGTAGAGTGATCCATGGAGGGCAGCTTACAAACAGCTTCCAGGTGCAAACCGGAGTCAGACAAGGATATTTGTTGTCATCATTTCTCTTTCTCCTTGTCATTGATTGGATTATGAAGACATCCACTTATGAGCTCAGGAACGGAATCCAGTGGACGTTGTGGACCCAGCTTGATGACCTGGACTTTGCCGACGACCTTGCACTCCTTTCGCATAGCAAACAGCAGATGCAAGAGAAGACTAACATGGCAGCCACATCATCACAGGTTGGCCTCAACATCCACAAGGACAAGACCAAGATCCTCAAGATTAACTCCATCAGTAATGACCCCGTCACACTGAATGGAAGCCCTCTGGAATAAGTGCAGTCCTTCATCTACCTAGGCAGCATCATCGACCAACAGGGTGGCACGGACACAGACATCAAAAGCAAGGATCAGTAAGGCAAGAGCAGCTTTCTTACAGCTCAAGAACATCTGGAGCTCCAGAGAGCTGTCTTTGGCAACAAAGATTAGACTGTTCAATTCCAATGTGAAATCAGTCTTATTGTATGGAGCTGAAACCTGGAGGACAACTGAAAAACCACCAGGAAGATCCAGACCTTCATAAATAGTTGCCTTAGAAGAATTCTCCAGATCTGCTGGCCAGACACCATCAGCAACATCTACCTCTTGGAGAGGACCCGTCAACTTCCAGCAGAGGAAGAAATTAGAAGGAGAAGGTGGGACTGGATAGGACACACACTACGTACGCAAGCAGCCAACCAACATCACTAGGCAGGCATTGCGGTGGAACCCCCAAGGCAAGCGGAAAAGAGGCCGTCCAAGAAACACCTGGTGACGCGACCTTCAGGCTGATAGCATAAAAATGGGCTATACCTGGAACCACCTACAGCAAATGGCCTAGGATAGAGGACTCTGGAGATCTGTGGTTGGCGGCCCATACCCTGATTGGGGTGAAGGGCATGAGTGAGTGAGTTCTTTGAAAATGTGAAGTTATATATACATGCCAACTACTATCTATGGAGGTATGTGAAAATCGCAATCAAAATTAAATATACACTGAACGAAACTTCTAGCCCTAAAAATTGTTATAATCTATACAAACTGATTTCCATTACAAATCTCTAAATTATGACTGACATTTCACAAAGATGTTACCATCAACGGACGCTTTTCTAATAGCGACTAGATTGATATACAATGCTAACTTCCGCAATTGTTAAAATACAAAAGTGGTATTTGCAGGGAAGGGCTGTTCATGCTACAATTAAAATTAAGATTTTTTTTTTTTGCTTACTTCTCCAATGGAGTCTTGAGAATCTTGATTGTAAATTTGAGTTTCTACCTCACCGTCAGTGCTTTCTTCTGCCGTGACTTCCTCCTGAAAAAGCATGTATTTTTCATAGTGAGAGCGCCAGTCAGACAGACAACTACCATTTCTACATCAATGAACAATACCTATCTTGTGACTGTTGACTAGCCTCTCTCCATCCAATCTCATATTTCTGCTTTTCTGACATCTCCTCATAAGTGTCATATGAGATTCCATTTTCTCTCTACATCTGAATATCCAGACCATGTCCAAATATTATTGCTGCTTCTTTCTCCATAACTCAAAGACCTGGCCTTCTCTCTATCCACACTGCTAAAACTCTTGCCCACAGCCTTATTTCTCATTTTCAATTTCTGCATCTCCTGCCTTCCTGACACCCACCTCATTCCTTTCAAGGCATATTCAAAATACTGCTAAGCTCAACTGCATGGATTTCAAATTAACAGTGTTTTCCTTAAACTAATAAAAATTCTACTCTTTAACACAAAGCCCCTGCCATTAAATGCTATAACTTTTGCTTTATTTGGAAGTTCAAGGTGTAGCCTATTCTAATGGTATAGAGCAGGGGTTTGCAATCTTTTTCTTTCTGAGCCCACCCCCCAACATGCTATAAAAACTCCATGGCCCACCTGTGCCACAAAAACTGGTTTTCTGCATATAAAAGCCAGGGGCGGCATTAGGAAGTAGCAAGCAGGGCAATTGCCTGGGGCCCCTATAAAGCTGTTGCTCAGGCTTCAGCTTCAGCCCCAAGTGGTGGGGATTCGGCTTTCTGCCTTGGGCCCCAGCAAGTCTAATGCCAGCCCTGCTTGTCGGACCCCCTGAAATCTGCTCTCGGTCTCCTTGGATCCCTGGTTGAGAACCACAGGAAAAGAGTTTGTCAATTATCATTTTCACAAAAGGTCCCTGACTTTGCCAGCAACAGAATTTTAAAAGCTTTTGAAACAGGATCCTTGTCAAAAGCTTATTCCAATCTCAAATCCTGGGCGGGGTAAAATTATTCACTGGAAGTATTTTCCCTTCTTACAAACCTCAGGTCCAACTCTCTGTACGCTTCTCAGTTTCTTTGGAAGAGGTATATCCACTGTTTCCTCTGAAATTTGTTCCGAGTTTTCTACTGTGCTATCCTCTTCCTCCTCTCGTGGACGCTTGGGCAAGGAAGAACTTGGGGTAGCTGAAACTTGAAACAGCCCTCGGTGTTATTTTCAAGAGCATTATGGCACACAAAAAGGGTTTAGGAAACTGGCAGAAAGCCAGATGATTTCAGATTTTTCTCTGAGGGACTGCCTCTTGCTCTATACTCAACCATGGCACTTGGGACTGGATAGGAGCGTCTTGCTGTTCGCTCCTGGGGATGAACACACTAGTGCTGGCAGCAGAGTTTTCTGAGCTGCAGGCCCCCCTCTGTGAAACTGGCCCCTATTCAAAGTCCACCAGAACCCAGATTTGCTTCAGCTTTTTTGTTTGTTTTTCAGTAGTCTTGTTCCTGACAGAACGTGGTCGCTAACATTTCCGTGCATAGCAGCAAAGACAATTAAAAATAGTCACAATGGGTAATTTTGGGGGTAAATTTTGCAAATAACAGAAGTATCTATAATGACAGATGCTCAATGCAGCAGTAAGATCTAATTTTTTTTATATTGCCACTTAAGGCCTAGATGAGGGGTTTGAAGAAAGTACAGGTACAATCACAGAATATATGTTCAGTTCAGTTGATTTAGTTTGCTTTCCTACAGTAGTCATTTATAAAGTTTAGACCCAAACCTTTATATTAAATTCTGAATCTTCATACCAAAGCAAGATTGAGGAAATTGAGAAGCGAATGAGGGGAGATCCTGCTTTTTTCTGGAGCAAACAAGATTTAACATCCAGCATTAGTTTGAATAGACATGTGAACATTCACTTCTTGTTTCAGCTAGGATACCGTTTAGAAGTGTGCTAGGTCACATTTTTTAAAAGGTAACACTTTGGCAGGTGCAAGAAGGTAGGCCAGAGCTCAGTCTTTTTGAAAGCCTACCCCACAATTTGAGCACGAAGCCATCAGCTGCTATTATATGCATTATGGCCTGATTCAATGAGGATCTGTAGTGGTTTGGGCACACCATGAGATTAGGTCCTGTATATTTATTTAGAGAATGAAACCAACCTGTACCAAACACTGCTGTGGAAGTGGAGGGCCTTTCTATCTGTGAGCTCTGTACGACCTCTACAATGGTGGGGGGTGGCTCTTGAGTTGCTGGCTCAATCTGAGGATGACTTTGCTGAGTGGGCTGCACAAAAGCTGTAGCTTGAGTCTGTTGCTGAACAGTTAAGATGGGTTGAGAGAGAGATGTCTGGACATTAGGACTGGTGGAGCGTACAGATCCACTTGTGCTTCCAAAGACCGGAACATGCTCTACTGGTCCTTCTGACTGCATAGCTGGAAAGCAAATGGTAGCACATTTTAATTGGCTTATAATTATCTAGTACACATTACTTTTCACTTGAGAAAGCAGTGGATAGTAAGATTTAATGTTTCTCATGTATAGCCTGTTAACCGATTTAAAGGTATAAAAACTGTAAAAGCACAAAAAAATTAGCAAGGGGATTCAAGGTCAGGTAGAATACCAGAAGTTATATTTAACCCTGAAATTGACTAGATTTCAAGGTAAAGGAGCCCCTTTAAGGTTATTTTAATTTAGATAGTTGCCCTTTATTTAGTACACTTACCTTCTTGGGTTTCCACCTGTGTTGTAGGCATAACTGTAGCTGTTGGAGTAGTGGTTGGATTTGTAACTGTAGCAGGAGTAACCATTGGACGGATACTTGCTCTTGGAGTAGATTTACTCCCGGGTATGGCGGTAGCAGTCACTTTACTTGGAGTTGACACAACAGGTGTTGGCTTAATGTTTGCTGTTGGTGGATCTGAAGTGCTAGCACTGGAAATAGGACACTGATTTTATTTGTGCTAACAAAGTCAGGGTCAGACTTACAAGAGTATCAAATTCAGTTTTCTAACAAAATATCAAATGTTGATTTAAAAAAGTTTCACAACAACATTTAAAACAAATCATGGCATAGTACTAGTATCTAAGCTAAATTATTATTTAATTGGCATCATGGAGACTTGGTGGGATGCCCACATGGGTGAAAGTGATCATGAAATGATAGATTTCATGATTCTATGGAAAGGAATGAGTGAGAGCAGCAGAATAAGAACTGTGGACTTCAAAAAGACGACTGACAAATACAGAGAACTGGAAGGCAGGGTCCCATGGGAAGAAAATCTAAGGGATACAGGAGAGTTGGCAACTTCTAGAGGTCACAACATTAAAGGCAGAATGGCAAACTATCCTGATGCAAAGGAAGATAGGAAGAATAGTAAGACGCCAATGTGTCTCCATTAGGAGCTCTTTTATGACCTGAAAAATCAAAAAGGAATCTTACAAAAAGTGAAAACATGGACAAATTGCTCAGGAGTTCAAAAGAATAGCACAAGCAAGTACGAACAAATTCTGAAAACTTAAAGCACAAAACAAGTTACAGCTAATAAGGGACATAAAAGGTAATAAGAGGCTCTTCAAATACATTTACAGCAAGAGAAAGACGAAAGTGTAGGCTTCTACTTAGTGGGGAAGGAGACCAAGTAAGAGATGACATTTGGAAGACTAAGGTTTTTAATGTCTATTCTGCTTCAGTCTTCACTAAAAAAAGAAGAGTAGTAACCAGATACTCAATACAATTAATATTAACAACAAGAAGGGAAGAATGCAAGTCAAAATAGGGAAAGATCAGGTTAAAGAATACTAGTATAAGTTAGATGTATTAAATTCAACAGGGCCAAAAGAAATACATCCTAGGGTACTTAAGGAACTAGCTGAAGCCATCTTGGAACTGTTAGCAATTATTATCTGAGAACTCAAGGAGGATGGGTGAGGTCCCAAAGGACTGGAGAAAGGCAAGGAGAGTACATATCTTTAAAAAAAGGGGAACAAAGAGGATGCGGGGAATTATAGACCAGACAGCCTAACTTCAGTACCTGGAAAGATACTGGGACAAATCATTAAATAATTTGTAAGCACTTAGAGGATAAGAGGGTTATAAAGAACAGACAGCATGAATCTGTCAAGAACAAATCATTCCAAACCAACCTAATTTCCTTCTTTCACAGGATTACTGGCCTTAGGGTGACCAGATGATAACTCCAAAATATCAGGACCGCCACAGGGGGAATGCCTTTTCAATTGTTACACTCACCTGGCACGTCCGGGTCTTCGGCGGCACTCCAGCGGTGGGTCCTTCAGTCGCTGACGGTCCTTGGCGGCATTTCGGTGGCGGGTAATAAATCTTGCGACCGAAGAAAGAAGTACCTGCCGCCGGAGTGCCGCCGAAGACCTGGACGTGCCGGGTGAGTGTAACAATTGCAAAGTCACTCCCCCTGCCTGTCACCGCCGCCTAAGCAAAAAAAGGGCCGCCGCGCCCAAAACAAAATATCAGGAGAAATGGCGTCCCGACCATACTTTGGTCGGTACATGGGACAAACTGTTCAATGTCTGGTCACCCTAATTGGACTAGTGAATCGGGGGAACCAGCAGATGTGATGTGTCTTGATTTTAATAAGGCTTTTGACACTGTCACCACAACATTCTCATAAGCAAACTTAGGAAATGTAGTCTATATGAAATTGCTTTAGGGTGAGAGCATAACTGGTTGAAAGACTATACTAAAGCTGGGAGGGCATATCTTTAAGGGTCCTGCAGGCCTGAGTCTGGTACTATTCAATATTAGAAGGATAGAATATTAGAAGGATTAGAATTCAAAACCAACCTTGAAAAATTAGAGAATTGGACTGAAATCAAGATGAAATTCAATAAAGACAAGTGCAAAGTACCACACTTAGGAAGGAAAAAAAAAAATCAAATAACGAACTGTGACAAAGTTCCTCCTCTATCTTGGTGGGTCCTGCGCTTATTGGCAGATTTTCTTGTCTCAGAGATTCACCATGTGGGTTGGGGAAC